GTGCAATAGACTGTCGCTCATCCCGAGAGTGAGTGATTTCAAAGACAAAAAACAAAAAAATAAGAAAAAAATTAAATTAACCACAGATTCAAAACAATTTTTATTATAATACAGAATTGACATCCTTAATCTAATAGAAATTTATTAAAATCTAGTAGAAAAGATTTATCTACTTATCTATTTAATGATCTACCTGTCTATCTTATTTATTAATCTGTTAATTTACCTGTTGTTACAAAAACATTATATATCATGTGTGAATTTCTGTTATAAATCTTCTGTGATATATTTTTGAACTACATATATATACAATCTTTATATCATAATATACTAAAAATAATAATAATATACCAACGAGGTGAAGAAATAGAAGGAATGAAGATAAAAATATTGAGAAAAGAAGGAAAGCAAATAAATAGGACAATAATTAGAGGATGTAATTGGCTTGGCTTAATTACGCTTTAATTAGTTAGTTTATTAATGGATGCAAGATTGGATGCGTGGATCTCAAGGAGATATATAAAGATGATTAACTTGAGAGCAGTAAGAGGAGGAGGAGGAGGAGGAGGAGGAGGAGGAGGAGGAAGGAGGAGGAGGAAGGAGGAAGAAGAGTAGGAGGAGGAGGAGGAGGAAGAGGAAGGTGAGGGGAGGAAGGAGGAGGAGGAGGAGGAGGAGGAGAAGAAGAAGGAGGAGGAGGAAGGAGAAGAAAAAGAAGTGAGAGAAGAAGAGGAGAAAAAGGAAGAAGACGTAGAGAAGAGGAGGAGAAGGAAGGAAGTAAAAAAAGAAAAAAAATGAAAAGGAAGAGGAGGAGAATTAAGAGAAGGTGGGGGGAGGAGGAAGAAGAAAGAAGACAGAAAAAGAAGAAAAGAAGAGGAGAAAAAAAGAAAGAAGAATAAAGAAGAAGGAGAAGAAAAAAAAAAAAAATAAGAACTGGAGGAGGAAGAGAATATAAATGGACAGGAGAAGAGAAGAGAAGGAAGAGAAGAACTAAAATGAAAGGAAGACATAAAATGATAAGAAATAGTAGAAAGTAGAAAGGAGAGAGAATAAAGAAGAGCAAGAAAACAAAATAGAGGAAACAAAATATAACAAAAAACAAAATAAAAATTAAAAAATAAATAAAAAAAAACACATAAATAAATAAAACAAAGCAAACAATACTAATTAAAAATAACAAGAAAAAACAAAACAAAACAAAAAAAAACAATGATAATATCCTTTATTCCACATTCTTGACATCCTTCCTCGATGTCTTCGCCACGAGGAGCAAGAATCCTATGAAGCGATATCCTACGATGAGGACTAGGAGGATGCCGATGTCGTAACCCAGGTTGGCCTGAAGAGAGAGAGAGAGAAAAAAAATGAAATGGATTAAAAAAAAGGGTTAATGATTTTTTGACGAAAGAGAGAGAAGAGAGAGAGAGAGAGAGAAAATGAAAATGGATGATAAAAAAGATTAAGGATTTTTTGACGAAAGAGAGAGAGAGATAAAAAATGAAAATGGATTTAAAAAAGGGTTAATGATTTTTGAGGGAAGGTGGGGAAGGATAGGGGAGGGGGGGAATGAAAGGGGAGGGGAGAGGGGGGAGGGGGTTAGGAGTGAGAGATGGAGGGAGGGAGGGAGGGGGGGGGAGGGAGAGGGAGAGGGGGAGGGAGGGAGGGAGGGAGAGAGAGAGAGAGAAAGAGAGAGAAAGAAATAAAGAAAGAGAAAGATAGAGAGAGAGAGAGAGATAAGAAAAGAAATCAACAAAAAGTGAATTCAAAATGATTTTATGAAGAAAAAGAAAAAAAAAAGTAAAAAAGGTTAGGAAAAAGAAGAATTTGTGAGAAAAAAAGAACAGGAATTAACTGCAAAGAAGAAATGTAAAAGAAAAATAATAATGAATGTTTTTATTACTATTGTTCCATTTTTCAAGAATAATATATATTTTCCCTTATGCAGCAAACCATGATTACAATGAACACTACTACATTAAAGAAAATACACATATATATAATTATGAATATCATTATTATATTGTAATTGTCAAAGCTACCATTACCATAAATTCTACTACTATGACAACTACAACTACCGTTTTTATTAATGCTACTTCTACAACTTCATTCATAATTATCATTAGAAAGTACCACTGTAACCATTACTATACTGTTAGCAATCCTATAACTACTATTTACGTTGCTATGACAACTATCACAGGTACTGTCGTTAAAACTATTACAACCCCTGCTATAAAAAAGTAACTACAACAATTGTAACTACATTGACACTGTTACAAAGTCACCTACGATATAACAACAACAACAAAAACTATTGTAGGATCTATAGCTATAACCAACACTTCTACAACTACAACTACCACCGCTATTGCCACTATTACTACCCCCTTTCACGTAACAATTACAATCACAAATTACAAGCACAACCGTCACTCCGTTTACAACCACTCCAGCTGCCAACAACAACCTTAACTAAAACCCAACAACAATGGAAATTACT